CCACCAAATCCACGAAGAAATCTCTATAACTGCGAAACTCTGGTTTAAAGGAAGAAAAATTTACACTCCCAGTTACAACAGTACTTCTACAGTCACCAACACCAATTCCTTTCTCTCCACACGCTTAAATCTCGACACAACTGGCACTGTGTATCTATTATCTATCACACAATTCATTTCAAAAGGAGACAAAATCTGATTAGTCACAAAGGAATTCCTCCTCCCCCTTTGTTTCAGATGATTATTCAACTAGCCCTAATTTTAAGTAGGATCATTGGGGGCAGTTACGAGTTCCTGGCGTACGACTGCGGTACCCAAAGTGCAAACATTACGACAATTTCTCTCTTAAACGTGAAAAAATGCAACATCGAAGCAAGGGAACCTATCGTGACAGAGACCTATGTGAAGCTCCTCTAATTATCTAGGTTTAAAAATGTTTACGTCAAAACCTGTCGACTATACCTCGATAGAAGTGTTTTCCTCTCCCCTTTTTCACTCGAAAGAAATAATAAAATAATAATAGAAATATATTGTATCTCGAGCATCCGAATATAATCCCTCAAATGTGCTTTTCTAATCAACCAGAAGTGTCATTGCAGTCTGACCCATTAGGACCCACCGCTTGAATAAGGAAGGAATATAAAACAATTTAGGTAACGGCCATGAACCAAGGAATCCTGCTGATTGGCATATGGGTGATCTGTGTGTCCTGCCGATCACCACCTCACAAGGTCGTTCCTATACCCGAGCCGTCAGGACTATACTTCGAAGGGATGGAAGACGTGAGGCCCATCGTCAACGGATTGCCTCCTTTTGGAAAGAACGATGCCTAAATGGAGATCGGATGACCATGACGTAATGCGCCAATGGGAGATGTTGAACGACTTTATCCGACCTGTCGGAGCTGACGCGACATACGACCACAAGACATACCAACCTAAGCTCTCACCCGACGAAACTGACCTCGTTGCTCAAATTATGCAACACATAGCATTACCCGGACAGACAAAACCCGACTGTAAAAATACTTATTTAAGTTCAGGAATTCACGATTTATTAACGAATTTACGAGCCCAATATGACAACTTTCCAGGAATAATAGCAGAATCGGCAGTTAAAGAGAAGGACAAAATCAGTAATAATATCACGAAAATCTTACCAATTATTTCCGAAACGCGAGACAAATTAATGAGTACGGTCTTCGACGTTATAAAGGACGCAAAACTCGGACTAATCCATGCTTATACCTTCCAACCTAAATTACTTCGAGAAACTCTAGCCGAACTGTCAACCGAAGAAGGGAGTGCATTCATTCCATTGCCTAGAGACGGTGTAGGATTGATACAATTAAGAGAAATAAGGGAGACTGACCTGGTCATGAAAGACGGCCGTATCATCATCATTACAAAAATCCCATTGATAAGAGATACAGCAGAAAAACTATATCAAATTCATTCACATCCCGTCCTGCAGAGCCTTGGTAACAAAACCGAGGTGTACGCGTACCTAATGCCCTCAGCCAGATATCTATGGATATCTGTAAGCGGGGTACGATTTTCATTTATTACTCATGAGTATCTATCTAAATCTCGTAAAAGGGCGAGGGATTACCTCATTTGTCTACCTCCCAAAACCCTTCATATGATCACGCGTAATATACCATGTGAGATCGCCTTGCATCGTAAGCTAAGCAACGTAACCCTACTGTTCTGTAATATCATCATCACGGGTGCACCAACAGATTATTGGGTACCCCTTCGTCGACCTGGACACTAGTTATATAGTATAAAGACCTCAACGAAAGCGGAATTAAATTGTCCACACTACCCCACCGTCATACTGAATCTAAGCGGGCATGGACAAATTAGTATTGAGAGGGGCTGTACCTTAAAAACTACCGATGTAATGTTAACTAATGAAGAGAGGATCCCGCGTATCCCGTATATACAAGATACCGTTCCTCATGCTCGTTTAGACCTACTCAAGATATTCCCAGGGATCATCCTTTGTTCCAAACTATTACAATTCGAACAGAGAACTGGATATACAAAAACGATCCCCTTAGATTTAATTAGACGTAATTTCACTCTTAAAACTTATCAATTAACAACATCTGTAACCCGAGTGGAAGTCGACTTACTTTGGAGAATTCTCATTCTCGCCAACCTTGTCATTGTACTTTCTTTATATTTATGTATAAGACTACCCACTATTATTAAGCGATTAAGGTGTAATACTACGAGTGAGGGAACCCCCCCCCCCCCCGTGCACTGGTCCAATGTGAAAGCGGAAAACCCAGACAATGAAAGTCAAGCGGAGGAATCACCCTTCGGAAATTTTGAACACCTGCAAGGGACCAGACCCCAACAAACATTGAGTTTTACCTTCCTTACAGCTACCTGTGCAGAACCCGAACCTTTAGTATTGGAAAATCCACAGATCATGCGGCCTGAACAATACTATTCTATTCCTCGCAACCCACGTCTCGTCAGACCCCTGCCTCCCACACCTCCTACTGGTGGAAATGACCTTGCCGTACAAAATCCCAACATTACTAATAAGAACGTATTAGAGCTTAGTGAAGAAGTAGAAGGGGGCTCGCAAGAGCCACCTGGAGTGTGAAATCTAGTGTTTACCATCCATTGAAAAGCGGCTCGCAAACAAATTATGTCGCAGCCGAATAAGACCTTTGGAATTTAGAGCCTTAGTAAGTAAGATAATCTGTCAATATTTCGCATGCGTTTTACACCCCCCCC